GACCCACACAAATGAGAAGTCCACCCTGCTGTGTGAGAGGAGATCTACCCGGGGTCACATACAACAGTCGCAGTGCTGCTGGACCCACACAAATGAGAAGTCTCTGTGTGAGAGGAGATCTACCCGGGGTCACATACAACAGTCGCAGTGCTGGACCCACACAAATGAGAAGTCCACCCTGCTGTGTGAGAGGAGATCTACCCGGGGTCACATACAACAGTCGCATTCCTAGACCCACACAAATGAGAAGTCTCTGTGTGAGAGGAGATCTACCCGGGGTCACATACAACAGTCGCAGTGCTGGACCCACACAAATGAGAAGTCCACCCTGCTGTGTGAGAGGAGATCTACCCGGGGTCACATACAACAGTCGCAGTGCTGGACCCACACTAATGAGAAGTCTCTGTGTGAGAGGAGATCTACCCGGGACCACATAAAAGAGTCGCAGTGCTGGACCCACACAAATGAGAAGTCTACCCTGCTGTGTGAAAGGAGATCTACCCGGGGTCACATACAACAGACGCAGTGCTGGACCCACACAAATGAGAAGTCTACCCTGCTGTGTGAGAGGAGATCTACCCGGGGTCACATACAAAAGTCGCAGTGCTGGACCCACACAAATGAGAAGTCGCTGTGTGAGAGGAGATCTACACGGTGTCACATACAAAAGTTGCAGTGCTGGACCCTTACAAATGAGAAGTCGCTGTGTGAGAGGAGATCTACCCGGGGTCACATAAAACAGTCGCAGTGCTGGACCCACACAATTGAGAAGTCGCTGTGTGAGAGGAGATCTACCCGGGGTCACATAAAACAGTCCCAGTGCTGGACCCACACAAATGAGAAGTCTACCCTGCTGTGTGAGAAGAGATCTATCCGGGGTCACATACAAAAGTCGCAGTGCTGGACCCACACAAATGAGAAGTCTATGTGTGAGAGGAGATCTACCCGGGGTCACATACAACAGTCGCAGTGCTGGGCCTACACAAATGAGAAATCGCTGTGTGAGAGGAGATCTACCCGGGGTCACATAAAACAGTCGCAGTGCTGGACCCACACAAATGAGAAGTCTACCCTGTTGTGTGAGAGGAGATCTATCCGGGGTCACATACAAAAGTCGCAGTGCTGGACCCACACAAATGAGAAGTCTCTGTGTGAGAGGAGATCTACCCGGGGTCACACACAACAGTCCCAGTGCTGAACCCACACACATGAGAAGTCTACCCTGCTGTGTGAGAGGAGATCGTGCTGTAGTAATGAGAAAAACCCAACAACCGCGGCGACGACAATGATGATGATAATGATACATTCCAATGAATTTGATAAACATAACAGAACAGCAACGATGATGACGACGACAATGACGATGTCGACGACGACGACGACGACGACGATGATGATGATGATTTTTATAACATTCTTTAGCGAGTGAAGTATGTAGTCCAGTTTTCCGAAATGGTTTGGTTTGGTTGTTGTTTTACGCCGCACTCAGCAATATTCCAGCTATATGGCGGCGGTCTGTAAATAATCGAGTCTGGACCAGACAATCCAGTAATCAACAGCATGAACATCGATCTATGCAATTGGAATATAATGTATGTGTTGACAGGTGTCAACAAAGTTCAGCGAGCCTGACCACCCGATCTGAGCTGATGATGGCCTCATTCAAGCCCGGATAATCCGAACCATCTTTGATGCGTTTCTGTCGATTTATCTATAAACAGTGATAAACAAAAATGGCGAATAACTCTTTCCAGAATTACAAGAGATCGCTGCAAAACAATTTCATTGCGAAGTCCGACTCTAAGAGAATCATGCGTTTCAGGGTCAACATTGAACTAAACGTTTCAATAACAGAGCATTTTAGCATTATTCCTTGTTTAGAATGCTGTCCACGTAAAATTACGGTATGATAACGATTAAAGAGGATCTTCTTCAACAACGTCCAATCCTATGGAATCACATCAACACATGTACACATTGGGAGTGAGGTGTACGTCCACGTGGCGATGAGTGAGTGAGTGAGTGAGTTGAGTTTGTATTTGCACCGTTTGTAGCAACATTCCAGCATAAATGGGCCCCAAGCGTTGCAGCGATGAGGGGTATTGAACCCGGGTCGACCGCTTCAACCACTAGGCTACCCCCACGGCCTGATGCTGTGTTGCGTGTAAAGGGCAAGAGTCGTTTTGGGCAGTTTGGTTTCTTTGTCACGTCAAGTAATATCGCAAGATACTCCTCGATACAAAATACACTGGTGGAAATACACCGAGGGACGTCCACCCATGACGCTGTTTAATGCTAAACCTGCGCCTGTAGGTGTAACAGTTCCTACACGCTGTATTTACATTGCAACTGAAATACATAACATATACACTATTTAAAATGGTGAGCGGTTGACGTGGGTCGATCAAAAAGTACGTAGACTAACTGTATTCTCGATGTCAAATGTTTGAAAACCTTCCATTTTATTTCGAAGGAATCTATAGCAAAGTCATGTCCAAAATTTCACAAATGTGGGTAAAGTGGTCAACGATATATTAGTCATCACAACACATTGGGGTATAATATTGCTAACAAAAGTGCAGAAAATGAAAAACGATCCGTCGTTTGGTACCTCTTGGATAATGGTATGCCCTCAGAGTATATCATATAAAATATGTTCAGTATAGTATTGGATGACTTCCCGTCATAATCATAGTCAAAGATTTGGATTGCTTAATTTATATCTAATTGTGGGCTGTTTTTTAAGGACACTCCCATTTCACTCTTCCTAAAACATTGTGTCCAGATATTCAAGCTGGTACTGTTTACAAGATATTGTGAGCTGACACTTGTGTGACCATTCAGTGTTTAGTTTGAACCCTTGGCATCAAAGATAAATAAGTGAATACATTAGAATAAGTTATGACCTTATGATTATGTCATCTGAAAGGGGATGGGTAGTGTCTCGAAAAGTAAGCTCTGTCTCGAAAAGGGGTGGGGGTGGGGGTGGGGGTGTCAGGGTCAACATGAAGGGGGGGTGGGGGTGTGTGTCTTTAGCAAGCCATTGTAATTTCAAATTGCTTTTTATTAACTTTAATATCCATGGGACTTCTATCTTCTTGCATATTTTGTATCCTGAAGTTTTTGATGCATTTATTGTAGACTATGCGTTTTCTGAGGGTACCAAGATTAAAGGTCAAACAAAACGGGGCGTGAGACTGGAACGTGGCAAAACCAAATTGCTTGAGCTTGGCAGATATTATGTCGAAAAATAAACATAAAAATAACTACATTTGTATCGTTTTCTTGGTGACTCTACATACTTTTTGATCGCCCCTCGTATTGAGTCGTCCCTGACGCCACTTCCTTGTTTTTTCGAATATTCCGTTAAGATAAGTACTCCTTACAAACATCTCCAACAAATAAAATGTCAATTTGTTTACTAAAGATAAAAGTGAGTGAGTAAATATTTAGCATCACATCGGCGATATTGCAGCCATATGGTGACGAGAACAATTTAAATGTCAATATTAAAATCAAGAAATTTAGAACGTAAATACCTGTCATCGATGGACAGTACACATGCTAGATTATCACAGCTCTTAATTTAAAACTAGAATTCTATCATACCAAACAAATCACTAGAGACGACAGTACAATATACAAAAACGGGCTATATATCATCAAGTGGAGGTTGATCAACAAAAGATGAAAGTGTGTGAGTGAGGTTAGTTTGACGCTGCTTTTAGCAACATTCCAGCAATATCAGAGCGGAGAACACCAAGTATGGACTTCACACACTTCACCCATGTTGGGAATATAACATGGGTCTTGTGGTTGACCAGCGAATGCTTTAACCACTAAGCTACGCAACCGCCCAACTAAAAACAAGAACATTCTCGGGTTTTCTGCTGTGAGCCCTTCACAAATTTAGCAAAGATTAGCCTGACGATAGAGATGGACAGAGCTGTTCCGAGAATCTAAGTTGTGGTCACTCTGAAACCATATTAGGTACAAGTACATATATAAATCAAGTATAAACAGGCATCTACTTCAATATATACTAAAAAGCTACTTTTCCGTTATCGTTTGTTTGTAATACTTTGCCACATGTTTTGCCTTACACAGTTTTTATGTACTAATTTTATATATGGGAGGTGTTCTGATTGACATTTTTTGCAAGTTGGCGGACGACGAAATGTACAGAAGAAATGTCTCCCTCTTGGCCGTCAGCTGTATACGGATCTGCTCTGAAACGTCGTTTTCCTATATGATCCTGGTATTTTATAACTTTGTATTCATAATTATTTGCCCTCTGTGGCACAATATGAACTTCAAACATACAGAATAGGAACTTCTTGCAGAAGGAACAGTTTTCATTTGTTATTGTGATTTTTGCGAGGTTAAATAGACATTCTTTACCTTAGAATAAATTAACCATTAATGCCGTTTTTTGAGACTTATTAGTCCTATGTCATAACGTGACATTGAATGAGTGAGTGAGTTAGTTAAACTTTTTCGTCACATCGGCAATGTTTCAGCCATATCGTGACGACAAAACGTTATATACTAAGAACAAATATATTTATACTTTTTAAAAGACCTGTCAGCGAAGGACAATATAACGACTAGATTACCACAACATTTATTAAAACTAGTTTGAGTTCAGTGTAAAATGCTAAATCACTCAAAACAACACAATATGAAATCGGTCTATAGATCGCCAGCAACTGAAGGTAGATCACCATGCTAGGGACCATGGGGACGTACAGTACCTTTACTACCTGCATGGACACTAGCTGGATTTACACCATCCCTTCAGCTGTGGGCGAGGTTTGAGCATTTTAGCCATACATTAAAACTGCAAACATTCTACAATTAAAATTCTGGCATTGATCAACGTACATTGACTGATGTGGTCTTAAGTACCCTCTTCGGAGGACAATTATGAACATAACATGGAATCATAAAATATAACAGGGTTATATGAGGACCAATAGGTGTGTATCGTGTCGCCTTACCTGTGTTGAGTGTAATCCGGCCTGGGGCAACACGCTCTGCGACCAGTATCCCGTGTGCAGCCACACAGCGTATATCCCATGTATGTGGCAGAGACTTCACTGTATATCCCTCCACCACAACTCCTCACACCGCGCGTACCGTGCGAATCCGCCAGGCACCTGCCGCGTGTCGCCACAATCAACGTGACAGGACCTGCAGTGACTTTCTCCGTCAGTGGGCGGGTTTGTGTCGGCGACACTTTGCAGTTTGTGTAACTTCTCATGCACGCGACGCAGCATGGAAGTGTTGACATAAGCGTCGTAAACGCCCCGTAGTGTCTTTATATCGTTTATACACAACCTGCTAACGTATTATTGTCACGTACCTCGCATATCTGTCAGAGTTACAGTTAAAGATGGACACGCTTCTTACAGATCGGCTGAATAAGCCTTGTAATCGATCTGACAGTGTCCAAACCTTCTTCAAGATCAGTTTTGTCCATTCTATTTAAGACATAAGGGGCTACAGATATGAGGGTCAACACTGTCCACGTGACACACATATTCCATCAAGGAAGTCACAATGTCCAGGTCATATTGGTCACTGCGAGTGAACGTGTGTTTAATGCGAGCTTCAGTGATTTATTCCTACACCGGGCTTGCGACCTAGCTACGACCGAAAATTAGCCTCTGCTCGCTATTACTCGCCAAGACTCGCAATACCATCGCAAATTAGCCTCAACATTGTCTCCGTGGTTTCAAACATGGGCTCTTTGGTCGCAATTGCTCTCCATTGGTCGCAAATGTTTTTAACTGTCGAAAACACTGGCAAAAGCTGTGCGATCGATGACAGTTTCAAATGTGGTCGCAATGAGATCGCACAGGTCCCAATGCACTCTCAGTTCGGTCTCATTGATCGTAACAGACTCCCCATTCGGTTGCATCAATGATCGTACAGTCTTAGGAGATTTTCAGTCGCTAGGTATTGCTCTTACTAATCCTGTTTGAGTTGCAACTCGATCTCATACACTCTCAGCGATCGACGATGGTGACAACGATCGCCACAGGGCTTGCATGTCGATATCTAATGGATGCAAGGGGGTTGCAACTGGGGCACGCTTCTGTATACAGTTATTTACCCTAAACAAAGTCAAAATACAAAAAATGTACCCGGTACCCAAAAAGGCGGACGAGTCCATATTCTGCAATCCAACACCGAAACCGTATGTAGTTGTTCCCGTTGAACTGATTGCGAGTGGTGTTCATGTGCATCGCGAAATATCCGTTACTGTGTATTCTCATTACTTACATAGCGCAATCAAATGTATCTAATACAAAAGTATGACAGTTCCGGTCAAGAATACGACACAATGGGAATGGAATCGCCCTAGGGTACGTTTCTGTATTTTCATTATGGCCAAGGTACGTGCCGACAACGACCCCTTCAGCGCAAACCGCCTCCGTGGTGTAGTGGTTAGAGCGTCCTCCCGGAGAGCAGAAGGTCGCGGGTTCGATCCCCAGCCGCGTCATACCAAAAGACGTTAAAATATGGTACTTGTTGGTCCCTGCCTGGCGCTCGGCATTAATAGGTACAACAAGGACTGGTCGGCTCGGAGTCAGTATAAAGTGTCTGAGTGGGGTATTCATGCTTCACTGCGTCATGGTATCTCAGTGGGCTAGCACTATAAAACCAGCTTAAGTCTGGGTTAGTACAAGCAGCCGCACATACACATACACACGCATGCACGTCGTCATATGAGCGAAATATCCTCGAGCACGACGTTAAACCCAATTTCACCTGACCTCACCCTTCAGCGTAGCTGGGTACACTACACTCATATTGACTCGTAAACTAGAAGCGACTCTATTGAGACCCGATTGACATCTATGAGACCCATGAGAGGGGTCACATAATCAGGTCGCAGTAAACTGGGGAATTTTCTGTTATCTGTCGTAATTCAGTCGCAAATGATTTTTGGTGTAACCGCAAATAAGAGACAAGATAATACTTTATTTTCACGTGGGAAATTTGGTTTACATTCATAAGAACTCTGGAGCATTCAACGATCAGAAAAAAGCACTGACAGTATTAAAACACAGTATTAATATTAAGATTGACAACAATAATGTACATTATTTGGCAACAATAATGTACATTATTAACATAAATACTAAACATTTAAAACTTAGCCTCATGCACATAAGGGCAATGTACGCAGTAAAAAAAGAGAAAACATGCGAGGAGTAAAATGTTAAGACTTATTAAGAAGTTTGAGGTTGCATGGTACAAATGATTTGGAGGTTCTGTTAACTTTGTAAAGAGGAGTTTTGAAGCGGCGGCCGGAAGGAAGTACTTCAAACTGATTATGTAAGAGGGGGGACGTATCAGCCCGATTTGCAGATGCTTTCTTTTCAGCCCGGGACTCATATAGGGCAGTCAAGATATGGAGGGGGATACCGCAAACTTTACTAGAAAGTTTTACAATTGAGTTGATTTTGTTTTTTAGCTTCAGGGGAAGATTACCGTACCATGCTTGTAAACAAAATGTGATAACACGTTGAATAAAAGTTTGATAAAATACGCTTAACATGACTTGGTCAACATTAAAAGAACGCAGCTTGCGGAGAAAATATAGCCTCTGTTGACCTTTAGAGTATAAGGCATGAATACTGGCTTTCCAAGACAGTTTATTGTCGAGTATAGTTCCCAGGTATTTGTTTTCCTCTACCACATGCACTTCCCCGTCGCTGAGTTCTGGTTCTAGAGGTTGTTTACTTGTACGAAAGTCTATAATCATTTCCTTTGTCTTGGTGACATATAATACAGGATAGTTGTCTTTACACCAAGAGGGCGTAGGGGTAGTCTAGTGGTTAAAGCGTTGGCTCGTCACGCCGAAGACCCGGGTTCGAATCCCCACATGGGTACAATGAGTGAAGCCCTTTTCTGGTGTCCCCTGCCGTGATATTGCTGGAATATTGCTAAAAGCGGCGTAAAACCAAACTCGGTCAGTCAGTTTACACCAAGAAGTGAATCTATCAATTTCGTTTCTGTAATCGAGTTCAGAGCTTTTGAGGAGGCCTGTTAATGCTGCATCGTCTGCGAACTTGAACATGAAGGAATTGAGTTTATCACTCACACAGTCATTGCATAGAGGGTAAACAGAGCGGGGATAATACACATCCCTGGGGAGCACCAGTATTCGTGAGTGTTAATTCAGAAGAGGAAGAGTTCACCAGAACACGTTGTAACCGACGTATTAGGCAGGACTGGATCCAACGTATAAGAGTGCTATTCAGTTCCATAGCAAACACTTTTTTGCATCATTAAGGAATGGAGATCAAAGGAACGACTCACTGCGACCCTCTGCGAGTTTACAATCGCGATGGTCATAACACGATCGTAGCGGGATAGCGGTTCGGTGTAACCGTACCCTGACTTCGAGTACGACTTGCGTGTATTTTGTGTGCCTCCCGGGAATCGAACCCCCGATCCTTTCAGGCAGATGCGCTATCTACTACACCACGGGTGGTTTTGGGTGTTGTTCTTTTCAACAATTGGTCATTAAATTCGTTATATAATTCCGGTCACAGGGCAGGGTTACAACAACTACACACATTTTGGTGTCGGACATCCAGGGATCGAGGGGCGGTGGGGAAGCCTAATGGTTCGAGCGTAAAACCAAACTCAGTCAGTCAGTCAGTCCAGGGATCGAACCAACTACCTCTGCTCTCAGTCAGACACTTTACCCACTAATATTGCTATGCCAGTGATTGTTTAAAACAGTTCTTTTCTGAAAATACATCGCATGAAGCTAAGCAGCTGACCGGGATACTTAACTACAATGGTTAAACGTCTCTGGGTATGAGGCGACAGGGAATCGAACCACTACATCTTGGTCAGGCAGACGCTCTATCCACTGCACTGTCCCCAATATCACTTGCAACAGACCGTACTGCTTTTTGCCAGCACATCAACGGTTATTCGATTTTTTGGCTCAAGCCCAATCAAGCCTGAGTTCAGCAATTAAAGTACTTTACATTTGCCAGGCCGAGGTAGCTTCTACACCATTAAACATGTGGGGATTACGCGCCATAGTGTGTCCACTAAGGACGTTTAACACGAATGACCTAAACCTTTACAGTAAACACACTGTCCTGATATGTATGGAATCATTGCCACATGTACCCAGTATCCATTCACCACCAGAGACATCATTTATGTCCGTCTACAAGCGACGGACACCGAAAAGCCCTGCAATTAAACCACACCTGTGCAGTAATTATACGGTCAGTGATAACAGACATAACTGTAGTAACATATCTCTATCTTGACGGTTGCACGAAACCAAATGTTTTCCTATAACTTTCCATAGTAACATTACATTGTCTTAAGCAATAACCGACCAGGTCAGAGCCACTAAATGTATATATATGCACAGTATGGCCTGAGAGCCACAATAAAAACACAAATATTGGCCAGGTTAAGCAACTCATTTTCCAAATACAGGAAGCTGTTCACACCAACCCCAGTTCCGCATCAAATGGCACCAACCTGAACATATTCTGCACACATTCAGCATAAGTCATTTTGTTAAAAATAACAACTATAAATATTGAAACATATGGTTAGTTTTAATTGCGGGAAGTATGTACATTTAAAAACACAAAAATCTGTCACCAAATCATCCAATCACAGCTGACAGACGATTCTGCCTGCACCGAGCTGACCGCTGAATCACTTTCTCCGTTGGCAGCGAATTAGGCTCAATATCACGCCATACCCGCTCTGAGGCACAACAGTTGGTGTTGGGTCACTGTAGGGAGCTATCCATAGCGAACATACATTGAAAGCATGTCATCTGATAAGAAGCGGCCATTTGGAAATTTAATACCTTACAAAGAACCATTGAGCTAAGCCGGAAATGATTCATTTGTTTGTAGAAAGTAGTCGTTTATCGAATTCATATCTGCCATGATGGTTGTGTTGATATATTGAATGAAACGTGTATTTATACCTCATGTCAGATATAGTTTCACTTCATTCAGATGTCATGTATCTAAGATATGATTAATGTATTGCACATTGATAGTGTCTATTTCTTCATAAGCACTCACATTTATCATATTAATCAATTAGACTGGAGATATGGACATAACAGTAGGATTACTCGATTGACATTTTCCAATCTTTGTCAATTTGT